TCAGAGAAGGAAGCGATCTCCTTCTAGGGGCCATGAGTCAGTCGAAGCGGTGCAGGGACAGCTGAGACCCAGCCCAGAGGTAGGAGGGAGTGGCTGCATGCCACCATGTCTAGATCTTGAGGTGGCGGCTCTGGGCCTGGAGTCTGTCTTGCCCTCTGCCGTGATTCTGGGGAATGCTACCCGCCATGGTCCCCAGACTCAGGACATTTTGAGGGCAGGGAGGAGTTGCTTTCTATTCATGAGGCCCCACAGGGCTCCACGATGCTGTTTGGGGAACAAGCCCCTTTTGGGACTGTCAGTCCCTGGCACTGCTGGTCTGAATGCCAGCTGTGGCATGGAAGCTGACCAGGTGGGCAGGTTTCCATGGAAAGTGCACTTGTTGAGCCTTCTGGCCAAGATGGGGGCCTTGGGCCTCCTGGCTCCCTTTTCGCCCTTCCCAGCACGGGTAGCTCCTGACTCAGCCCTGTCTGCTAACTCAGTTGTCCTGTGGTTCGAGGGCAGGTGCCAGGGGCCCTGGCTGAGCAGGAGTCCTCGTCCCTCTTCTGCCCACCACCCAGCCCCGCCTGCCACCTAATCCCGCCTGGATCGTGTGACCCGCCTGGCATTCCCCTGCCTGGAATCTGGCACTCCTGACAGCAGTTGCTATTTGGGGGGCCACCGCCCTGGACACTCAGCACCCAGCCTCACCCCACTGTGTTCTTGTTAACTTCAAGGCACAATCGTGGCTGCCTGGAGAGCCGGACACTTGGGTCCCTGAAGTGATCTCTAGACCGCAGGTACCGGGGCAGGGACGGGCACACCAGGGTAAGTGGAGGAGCCTTAAAATGGCCACTGTGGCCCCTCTCTGGACTCCTTCTGGGGACTTCAGCCCTCTGCTGTCAGCTCGAGCTGAGCTCTGATGGCTCCTTGGGTGGCAGGGATGATGTGGGGGTGCCGCCCAGGGGCCAGGTGGAGTCCAGCTTTTCTCTTACTCCTGCTTTCTACAGCGCCCCCATCCGCCACCATTCCGTGCTGCGGGGACACAATGGCTCCAGAAGAGGACGCTGGAGGGGAGACCCTGGGGGGCAGTTTCTGGGAGGTGAGCAGTTGGGGTTTTGGGGTGGCCCTGAAATGTTGTCCCTTCTTGGGCCCAGCCCCTCGGCCGAGGGAGGAGCCCAGCCAATAGCCCAGCCCGAGGAGGTTTTTCCCTTTGCAGCAGCCCTTTTCACCCACACCCCCAGGCCGGCAACTACAGGCGGACAGTGCAACGGGTGGAGGATGGGCACCGGCTCTGTGGGGACCTGGTCAGCTGCTTCCAGGAGCGTGCCCGCATCGAGAAGGCCTATGCCCAGCAGCTGGCCGACTGGGCCCGCAAGTGGAGGGGCGCGGTGGAGAAGGGTGAGCTGCTCTGCAGGCTGATGGGGGACAGGGGCTGCAGGGGTGAGACCCTTGTTTGGTGCTGGGACTCGAGCCCATACTAGACAAGTGCTCTATCTCTGAAGTACACTCCTAGCCCCAGCACGTTCCCTGGAGGGGAGACTGGAAGTTCAGACAGGCTAAGAGCTGGGCGTGGACCCCAGGCTTTTGACTTAGGGAAAGGTCCAGGTGTGTGGTTTATGCATTCGGCTGGGGTCTGACTCAGCTCCAGTATGCAGCTGTAGTGCTTCGGACAAGCAAATGTCACTTCTCTCTCTGGGTCTCAGTTTCTTACCGTGATCCACGCTGATCCTGACACTGAGCAGTGCTGAAGCAAGGATTCTGTGAGGTCTCCCTGGTTAGGATGCAGAGTGGGCATTTGGTGGGCAGCAGGCGACAGCGCCGTGCTCTTTGCGCCCCGGACACCATGGGAAGGACCCAGTGAGAGGGGCATCTCCTGGGGACCCCATGCCTCCTCAGGCCCCCAGTACGGCACGCTCGAGAAGGCCTGGCACGCCTTCTTCACGGCGGCGGAGCGGCTCAGCGAGCTGCACCTGGAGGTGCGCGAGAAGCTGCACGGGCCAGACAGTGAGCAGGTGCGCTCCTGGCAGCGGAGCGCCTTCCACCGGCCGGTGCTGGGCGGCTTCCGGGAGAGCCGGGCAGCCGAGGACGGCTTTCGCAAGGCCCAGAAGCCCTGGCTCAAGAGGCTGAAGGAGGTGAGGCTGGGCGGTGGGGGCTGGAGGCAGGCACCTTCCAGGTGTGAAGGGGGCTGGGGCTGGGGGCCAGGGCGAGGTGTCCAGGGCCCAGAGCAGTCCCCGTGCGTGCCAGGTCGAGGCGTCCAAGAAGAGCTACCATGCAGCCCGGAAGGAGGAGAAGACAGCGCAGACTAGGGAGAGCCACGCCAAGGCAGACAGCGCCGTGTCACAGGAACAGCTGCGCAAACTACAGGAGCGCGTCGGGCGCTGCACCAAGGAGGCGGAGAAGGTAGGGCTGGAGGAGGCTTCCTGGTTCCTTCCCCAGGAACTTCTCTCTCCCTGGATGCTCATTTAAAGCAGGAGCCTGGGGCTAGGAGTGTGGCTCTGCAGTGGAGGGCCCGGGTAGAATATGCAAGTCCTCCTTCTGGAAGCCCTCTGATTTCTCCCACCTTGCTGACCCTGTCTCCGCTCCTGCAGGTGCTTCGAGGTGATGTGCCTGAATGTCACCTCCTTTGTTAGACTGCTGGGGTCCCTGATGACAGGACCTGGGTCTTAGGCCTGGTTACCCTGGTGGCGTTGCCTGCTGAATGCTGGTGCACAGTGCTCACGGGTCCCTGCCTCTTCCACCTAGACAAAAAGCCAGTACGAGCAGACGTTGGCAGAGCTGCACCGCTACACCCCACGCTACATGGAGGACATGGAGCAGGCCTTCGAGAGCTGCCAGGCCGCTGAGCGCCAGCGGCTCCACTTCTTCAAGGACATGCTGCTCACCTTGCAGCAGCACCTTGACCTCTCCAGCAATGACAAGTATGGCGCGGGCGTGGGGTCCCCTCTGTCCCACAGGTCCTGCAATGGGGGTTTTCTGTGGCCCAGGACGGTCCCATGTGAGAGAGGTGCCTTGGGCTCTAGGTTCCACGAACTCCACCGAGACCTGCATCAGGGCATTGAGGCAGCCAGTGACGAGGAGGATCTGCGCTGGTGGCGCAGCACCCACGGGCCAGGCATGGCCATGAACTGGCCGCAGTTTGAGGCATGTGTTGCATGCTGGTTGAGGCTGGGGCCTTAGCAGGGCACTTTGGGACTCAGGATGAAGTCGGTGAAGGTGGCCAAGCCTGACCCTGTACATTCTCCCATAGGAGTGGTCCTTGGACACACAGAGGATAATCAGCAGGAAGGAGAAGGGTGGCCGGAGCCCTGACGAGGTCACTCTGACCAGCATTGTACCTACAAGAGATGGCACTGCACCTCTACCCCAGTCCCCGGTGTCCCCAGGGTGAGAGCTGGGAGCGCAGCTGAGGCAAAGAAACAGCTCTGCCCTTTCCCCAGCCCTCTTTCCCCTGTCCCCTTTCTTTCCTTTTACACACAAGGTGTGTTCAAATCTGTGCCCTGGACGAAAGGGTCGGTTTAGAATTTCCAGGCACTAGAATCCACAGAGCAGCTCCTCCTACCTGCCCGGAGGGTCCCTCTGAAGGTAAGCGCTTGTCCCTGAGTCCTGGGCCCTGAACGCCCCTTCTGCCTGTCCTCTCCAGTGGGCAGGAGGAAGAGTGGTTGGATGAGGAGAGCTCCCGGAAGGCTGCCACCGGGGTGCGGGTGCGGGCTCTCTATGACTATGCTGGCCAGGAAGCAGATGAGCTGAGCTTCCGAGCAGGTACCTCGGGGCCCCTTTCCCTCACCAGATGCAGTGCCTGCCTTACTTGCCAGGGCAGAGGGGTTTGGGAGAGGCCAGGTGCCTTCCTTCTCAGCAGTTCTGAGAAGGAAGCTGTTTTGGGTGCCGTCAGCTGGAGTCTGATTGCTGCCTCGGGGTGTGAGGTGGAGCAGCTTGCGGAGGGCCGCCTCCCCTGCCAGAGCCTTCTCCCTTCTCCATAGTTGACTCTCATTGACCCCATCTCCCTCAGTCTTTGACCGAGTAGTGGGAATGGCTGGGCCTCAGGGCAGCTGGCAGTGACAAAGCCCCTTTCCCCAGGGGAGGAGCTGCTGAAGATGAGCGAGGAGGACGAGCAGGGCTGGTGCCAGGGCCAATTACAGAGTGGCCGCACTGGCCTGTATCCTGCCAACTATGTGGAGTGTGTGGGCGCCTGAGTGCCTGGCAGCCTTTCTGCAGTCTCTTCACTGGTGTCACAGCCCAGCTGCTCCTGGACAGCCTGGCCAGAGGGCCCTGAACCATCTTGCTGCTGCCGCCTTTCCATCCCGAGGAGGCGGACATCCTGCGACCCAGGGAGGGGAGGGGTCTGTGCCTACTGAGTCTAGGCCAGGGTAGGAGGTCAGAGGTGACAGAAGGGCTAGCGCCTCCCCAGGAGCCGAGGACCATTTCCTGGCCTCTTGTTTTGGGGTTCCTGGGGTGAACTTTGGGAAGAGTAGTTCTGAACTAGCCGCATCCTCTTTTGTGACTTGTCCTAGTGTGTATAAAACTTGAAAGAAATAAAAAAGAAAGTACCATCAGGCAGTATGTTTGTCTTTTTGATACTGGAGCCCTGCACATGGAAGGAGGCCCTGGGGAGGCCGGGAATGGGCATGGGTTTGCCATCCGGTTCTGGCCTTGGAACACATCACGACCCTGAACCAGCAGGAAGGGACTTGGTGTGGGCCGAGTACGGCTCGAGGCTAGGAGTTGGCTTGTGAGCTGAGCAGGAGCCCCGCCAGAGTGTCTTCCTGTGCGGATTGGTGGGACACCAAGAGAGTTTGGGAGGTCTGTTAATCCGAATTTGAGGATCAATAACTCGCCAGAGATAGGTCCCAGCAACCCGCGCCCTCCGCAGGCAGCTCCGCCTTCTGGGCGTACGGGCATCCCCGCGAGGAGGTTTGGGCCGGCTCGCGACCCGTCACCTACCCCGGCGGCAGATTGGCTTGGCGTGGAGTGGCCTTTACTCTCGCGGCCACTGTAGTGCTCTCGGCCTCTGACGTCACGCTCCTGAACCGAGGGGCCGCTCATTGGTCCAGATCCCAGCCAAATCACTCCACCCCTCGGTTGGCTGGATTAGCCTGCCCTCCCAGCCGCGGATTGGCCCGCGACAGCACCCGTCGGTCGCTGGGAAGGAGAGAAAATGGCGGCGGAGCCAAGCAAGACCGAAATCCAGACTCTTTTTAAAAGGCTTCGGGCAATTCCAACCAACAAGGTGTCTGAACGGGAGGGCCGCGGGGTCTGGCGCCGGAGAGAAAGAGCCTTCTGCCCCTTGGGTCTGAGGAAGAGATAAAAAGGCGGAGGTGGGTGTTTTCTTGGGTGTCAGCGCCCGGCCTCGACATGGGGCGCCTGACTATTCGCTTGTCGCCTCCTCCACTCAGGCCTGTTTCGACTGCGGCGCCAAGAGCCCGAGCTGGGCCAGCATCACATATGGTGTTTTTCTTTGCATCGACTGTTCTGGGGTGCACCGTTCCCTGGGTGTCCACCTGAGCTTTATCAGGTGCGTTCTTCGCGTGGGTGCTGTAGCTTTCACCTGGGCTGCCACGACTTGGACCACTCTGAATTCGGGATTTGGGGGCCTCTGGGTCAGGTGTCCTCCTCCCGCGGGCCACCTTGCCACATAAGCGGTCCGTCTGGATCAAAACTCCATCTTTCCTCACCGTCAAACTTGACTGACGGTTACTTTAGGTTAGAAGTTAGCAGCATTGACCTTTTTGGGGATAGATTGCCGAGAATGTCTCTAGTGAGACAGTGATCATCCCTAAGATTAAAGCCAAATCCAAGCTTTCCTCCCGGAGAACGCGATCTCCTTTCAGATCTGAAGAAATAATTAACACTCTTTGGGATAGGTTTGGGAAGAGGAAAGCCTCCAAGTCCAGGGGAGAGTGAAGGAAATGGGGCAGTGGCCAAGGCCTCCGGCACTCTTGAGGCCAGATCAGGTATGGGCCTGCCGAGAAGCATGGCTCCTGCTGTCTTCTTGGAGGTGATGCTCAGCCCTTGTACACAGGTCCACAGAGTTGGATTCCAACTGGAGCTGGTTCCAGCTGAGGTGTATGCAGGTCGGCGGGAACGCCAATGCGGTAAAGCTCCTTGACCTCTCCCAGCCTCTATTGTTTCGCCAGTACCAACTTAGCCATGAGGGATGAGGGAGCCCCTCTCTGTTTCTCTGTTTAGGGGGACTCTGGTCTGCAATGACACCAGACCTTATTCTTTTAATTTGGGAATTGGTTATAACTCCAAAGAGGCTTCAGATTCAAACTAAATTGGACAGATGTTCTTGGGGAAAAAGCAGAGAGAGTCGGGGCCTCCATGGCCTTGCACAGTCTTGCAGGCCTACCAGGAGGGAGGTAGGGTAGAGTGGTGTGCTGTTCTCAGCCAGTGTTGAGTGCTGGGCTTCATTCAGTTGTCTCTGAAGATAGAAGAGGGCAAACTATTTTTTGCAAGAGTTTCAGAGGAATTTTATCTCCATGAAAAACTGCTGGTGTCAAAAATGTGTCATCTTGTATAAATTCTAACCAAGTTGTTATTGGGGGTGTCTACCATAGTAAGTGCATTTTGCTCTGGTGAGAATCACCTGTAGCATGCTCTGCTCTTCTCTGCTGTTTAGACAGCTTTTTTCCGCCAACACGGATGCACAGCCAACGATACCAACACTAAGTATAATAGCCGAGCTGCCCAGATGTATCGAGAGAAGATCCAGCAGCTGGGGAGTGCGGCCCTGGCTAGGCATGGCACTGATGTAAGTGCCTGTTCCTGGACTGGGGCGGGAGGTGAGGGAGTCTTCAGAGCCCCGTGTTTCCGGGAGCCTTCTCTCTTCCAGCTTTGGATAGACAACCTGAGCAGCACTCCCAGTCACTCCCCGGAGAAGGACTCTGATTTCTTCACTGAACACACTCCGGTGAGTGCCCACAGCAGGTGTTTCCCCTAATCATTCTGACGAGTGGCTTACTTGAGGTTGGGCCGTCTGTAGACTGCCTCTGCCTTTGTGTGCTGACTTGTTCTGAGACTGGGGCCCACTGTGTGGGTGACTGCTGCCTGCTGGGTAGGCACAGTCCTGTAAGTGGGAGAGCACTGGAGTCTTTCTAGGAAATGGCCCCCTCTGAACTGGGGAGGTGGAGAAGGTGCAGAGCTTCTTGATGAAGGCTCATGAGGTCTCAGGGGCCCCAACAGCTTTTCCTAGATTCTCCCTTAGTAAAGGATTCTCCTAATAAAGGCTTTTCCCAGTAAAGGATTCTCTCCCCATGACCAATCCCTGTGAGGGTTTCCCCTCTGCTGGTACCGCCTGCTGAAGTCAGACTTTGGAGTTTGCATCTCTGCCTCTCTACTTGGTGTTTGTGTGTTGTGGCCAAGTCACTTAACCTGCAAAACCTCAGTTTCTAAAGAGGAGATGTAGCCACCTCAGGGCTTTTTCTGATAATCACATTTGTGTATAAGGAACCCTTAGACTTGAGCATGGCGTGCGGAGGTGCCCGGTAATTAGTGGTTTTTCAGTTAGGGGGATGGGCACTGTGTAAGCTGATGCCAGCTTCCTGCATCTCTCTTCTGTGGTGAACAGCAGCTATAATTTCACTCGCTAACTTCCAGTCTCCTTTCCTTGTGGCCTAGGAGTAGGGCTTCATGCTCACAAGGGTCCTTGGTGCTCCTTGCCAGCAGAGGGCTCACTAGGGCTTCTGTGACCTGGCCTCCTTTTCAGCCCCCTGCCTGGGATGCACCTGCCGCTGAGCCTTCAGGGACCCAGCAGCCAGCCCCATCTGCAGAGAGCCTGGCACGTGAGTTCAGCTCCAATTCCACCCAACCCCTGGTCCTGGGAAAGGACTTGGGGTCAGGAAGGGGACATTTGGCCAACGAAGTAGGAGTGTGTGTAGGGACTTCTAGATCTTTGGTTGGAATGGGATTCATTTCAGTTCCTTGGAGGAATGGCAGGCATTTATCTTTTGGCACTAAGCTGAGGAAATCTGGTGACTCTTGCCTGTCACTTCCCCCCAAGGGAAGGTTGCATACCTAACTCCTGTTTCTTCATCCACAGAGCCGGAGCAGGGCCCCAACACCGACCTGCTTGGCTCTTCGCACAAAGCCTCCCTGGGTCAGTATGCCGGCTGTTGGGTGGGCTGGCCAGGAGAGGGTGGGCCTCAGCGTCCTTTACAGACCTCAGTCATGTGAACTGAGGCCACAGCGAACCTGCCCTTTCTGGGGTGGGGACTGGGATTGAAGTCCTGGCTGAACCGGCAACTTCCAAGCCAGGTCTTGAACTGACAGACCTGCGTGGGTTGCCTCTGAGTGTGAGCCGGGATCCAGCTACAGTGTGGGAGGCCACCCTGAGACTATTCACCTGTCCCTGGTATCAACAGGGCTGGCTTGTATGGTCCATTTCACATGGTGGGAGGACAGCTCTGAGCTTCTAATGGCTGGAGGTGACACTGTCCTTTCAAAGCCAGCCTTTGGCCTGTCCTTCAACTCTTTTATTTATTTATTTTTTCAGTGACCTTCCAGCATGGTTAGAGTAAACAATCCCTTTGCTGACCTCACTTTGTTCTGTTGACTCTTGGGTGTAGGGGTAGGCAGCCAGCAGAGCGACTGTCCAGCTGGCCCCCTGAAGGCTGGCGTAGTTGGTCTGCAGCATGTCTGTGAGGCTCGGGGGCTCTGTGTTAGCCTCTGGTCTGTTTCTCCTCCAGCGTCCATGTATCTGTCAGCTGCAGGGGCCCCTCTTGCCCGAGGTAATGAGGAGCTGCTTGGGGTGCGTGGCTCTAGGAGCTGAGGCTGTTTGGCATCCGCCCGCGTCTAACGGCCTTTAACGTTCAGGGACTTGACTGTCTCTGGTGCTTCAGGTCTGGGCTCCTCTTGCGAAGTGCTGGGCATCAGCAAGCGCCCTTAACCTTGTCCGTCTGTGGCTTGGATGCCTTTGGGTGGAACTGGCGGCAGCAGCTTTGCCTTCCCTGCCTGAAGCTGTTCTTTTTAGACGCTCTCACCATGTAGCTGCACAGTGTCGCCAAGCCACTGCCTTTGACCTTCCTTGTCCTGGCTCATGGCCCTCTTTCTCACACAGATCTGAAAAGCTCCATCATCGGCAAGAAGAAGCCGGCAGCAGCCAAGAAGGGGGTAGGTGGTGAGGCAGTTTAGCAGGGTGGGTAGCAGCTCGAGTTGGCCTCGTTTGCCTGGACCTTGCCATGCACTGGCAGAGCTAGCCCAGCATGTCTGACTGTCTGGGAGGAATATGGCGGTGTCCATCTTAGAGGCTCCTGGTTAGCAGGGAGCTGGGCACACAGGAGCCTCATCAGTGTCAGTACTGCTCTTGTCCTCTGAGTCCTCAGCCGGGGCCATGTGAGCCTCCTTGTGTCTGGCTCCAGCAGAACCACTATTTTTTCCCAGCCACACTCACCAGCTCCCGTCTGACCCTAACCCTGAGAAAGACCTTTCTCGTGGGTGTGGCTAGAGCACCGTGCCTGGGAGGTTGCAGAGGAGTTGGGTTGGCAAGTTCCCACAGCGCCTGGTTCCCTTTTCAGCTGGGGGCCAAGAAAGGCCTGGGGGCCCAGAAGGTGAGCAACCAGAGCTTTAGCGAGATCGAGCGGCAGGCTCAGGTGGCAGAGAAGCTCCGGGAGCAGCAGGCAGCAGATGCCAAGAAGCAGGCGGAGGAGTCTGTGTGCGTGTTGGTGAGGGGCG